ACCAGAGCCCAAAAATGAATGATACACCAAAAAGACTTAAAGAAAAAATTACCTATACATAGTAAGAGAAAATGAGTAGTGCTAAAATCTATGATATGAGTGAAGTATCAGAAAATTTAGGGTTGTATGTTGAAGTTGGTAGTGATGATGATGACTGGGAGAGAGAACAAATAGAAAAGGAAGACGAAGAGATTAGAGACTTTGTTAGATGTTATCCTATGCCTTCACCCAATGATGAGGAAGGAGAAACATTTTGGAAGAAAGTAATTGATAGGATGAAGGACGACGAAGGAGTAAATGGAATGATAATATATTCATTTGTGGATTTTGACATTATGAAAAAGGTGTATTAAAACCTCACTGACAAAAAAGTCATCATTGATTGTGGTAAGAAACTCAACAGTGATGGAGAATTTAACGCTATGATTATAAACCTGACCTTATTATCAATAGCGATGGACGAACTAAACGATACGAATAAACCTTGTCTAACACAAATGAGGGTGATTGAACAGTGGTGGGATGGAATAGGTAAATGGAAAGCGTAAATGATTAGTTCATAATATCTTAATTAATCATATTATGAACTAATCCTTTAAACCCCAACCCCAACAACAAAGCAGAACAGCAACAACAATCAGCCTCCTCGTTGAATATCACCGAACAGAGTGATTTTTAGCACCAAAATTTCCCCAGAAACCCCCACAGAATAACGACAAAGGCTCAACAAAAATTTTCAAGAGCCAAAAAAAATCAACGAGGTGATTGATGAACGAGAACTCCCCAGAACCCCCATTTTACCGTTTTTTTGGGGGATGGTTCGAGGTGAATGGAGAATTGATACACTCTGGAAGATCAACATGGAACCTGAAACCCACTGGGTTGTAGAGGAAAATAGTCTTCCAAAGGTCCATTTCCAGGTTCCATGTAATCTTCCCAGGTGTATGTGGTACATCCTCGGTGGGTGGATGGATGGGCATTCAAGTTGCGGGTTTGACGGTGGTGATGAGAGGCAAGAGTTGCTAAGGACCATCAGGTCGCCAGGTGTTCTCCCTGACAAACTGCCCAGAAAAGTGTCTATACCAAAGTTTAACCGCTGGTTTGTAGTTATATGACTCAGACCTAATTTCCAAGTCACTAAAAGCCATAGGGCCGTAGGCCATAGACTTGGCTTCTGTTTGTGGTCTGGGTTTCACTGGCGCAAATGGACAAATGCATGCAAAGAACCAAGAGTTCAATCATCACCGCGGAGCACCGTATCCCACCCGGGAATTCAGATCCCATCGTTTGCTTTTTTACCAAACTTTTGAGGGATTGGGGAAACTTCACTCAACAAGAAAGTTCAGTGAACCTGTATTTTCCAAGAACTGAGGGAGTGAGCATATCAAATGTGGAGATCGAATGCGATCGGAATAGGTTGGCACCCTGCCCAGTCACCAGGGCAGCTGCAAGTTTGGCCACATCCCACGGTCTGCGGCGTTTCTCCGAAGCTCTGTTCATTTCGAGCGCTTGAGTATTTTTGATGGCATCAGTCGTTCTCTTCGATGCTCACCCGATCGTTCCAAAAGTGATTCTGAATACAGTGGTTTCAGAGCTTCGATGGCAACAACCAAAGATGAATCATCTGAATAATGCATGGTCCACGAAAAGATCACCAAACTTGGGCGCGTCCCAAACGGTGCCAAGACACCTTTGAAACCAATGCTTCCCGATTTTCTTTGAAGCTCTCCTTCTCAGGCTGTGAAGGTGGGCGACCTGGTTTGGAGAAGCTCAGCGGATACGACCACGAGCTCGGTCTTGTTGGCCGCGGGAAAAGCGACCACTCGGGAACATTTGGTGAGATTGTTTGTTATTGCATAAACCATCATAAACCACTTTCTTGCATCATATGTTGTTTAAAATAGACGCTGGCATTTCCATGTGTTTCTGACATAAACTGACTGGTGACATCAAGTTCCATGTGCTCGTTGTGAGGGTGGAAGAGATGTTGAGTGCAAAAAGGCGGAAGAGATGTTTGTCGCGTGGCGGCACTCTGCCTTCGTTATTCGCGGCTGTTGTGCGATGAGTGATCTGCATCAAGGAAACAAAGACCAACTTCTGGAGGAGCAAGTTCGACAACTATCTTTGGTGAATTTGCCCATTTTCGAGCCATTGGGCTGCATTTGGTGTTGCCGCCTGAAGTGGATTCTGTCACAGATCTTAGTGTGAATAGCTTTGAATCTGTTCCATCACCCTGATTTCTGTTTTCTTCTCCAAACGCTCCTCACAGTCACAAACTAAGGGAGCTGGACGTCGCGCCGTCGCCCCGTGAACTGGACCACTTGCAGCCCGGCCACCCGGCCGTCCTTGCCGCTCTCCAGCGCCTCGTCGTGGACGCCCCGCCGCGTCCGCCCGCGGACGCCGCGGTCCGGCGCGGCGGCGCCGCGCCGCGCTTGGCGGTGCTGTGTCGCACGGCAGCCCAGGCGGAGGCGGTGCTGCAGCTGCCGAGAGGTGGGGGTTGTGGGACTGCCAAGAGGTGAGGTGAGATGTGGTAGCTCAGCTTGGACCAATTGCCACACTGTGATAGTGCAAAAGCCTTTGGATATGTTTTTTATGGATCCTCATCCATCCAAGATGTATCAATCACACATATGGATGCAAAAATTAAGCGGGGCCCCTTCGCAATGACGCTGGACATCGTCCGGATATGTCCCGATGAAGTAGGAGCCTGTGCAAAGGTCATGAAAGATACGCTACAGGTCCAGTCTGACCCAGAAACACCTGGTCCTGACAGAGGTCCTTTCAGCGGTGTTTTTGCATGATCAACTCCAGGTCCAGTAATATGATGCATTTTTGGGCCATCAATTGATGATCGTATATATATATATATGGTTTTTAGCATGTTTCGAAGGTATCCCACAAGAAGGGAGTTCCGAACGATCATTTTTACGACTCCTCGACGGTACTGCATCTGGGTTGGACAAAAAGAAGTATGGTCAGGCATGGTCTATGAGCTTCAGTTGGATTTCCTGGAAGCACATGGCCTTGAGGAGTCTGTTCAACGGGCTAAGGACTGCCAGCAGCTCAGCAATAAGTCTTACCCTGCGTGGTGCTTTGGAATGCTTTGCACATGTTCATACATGCTCCATCCGTGTTTGGATGCATTGGGCATACCGGTATGGGACGTTTATTCCACTAGCATGCCAAGCAGCATTTATGGATGAGAGCCAAGTTGTAATCCCTTTCTTCTTCGCTCCATTTCACCCAGGAAGGGCCTCACTGCTGATGGGGCCCGGGGGTTCCTCATTGATCAATTCACCGAGGGTCCAGGCCGTGGGCCCTGGGCTTGTCCGCCCCTTTTCCTTTTCGCTCAGCTCAGGCAACGTGTGGCAGTGTGTTTGCCCAGAGTCTTGAAGCCCAACGAGGCACCGGCGCGCAGCGATGCCGCACGATCCGATCCTCACCAACTGGGTGCTGGAGGGTACGGGTACACATCCTGTAGCCCTGAGGTGATGTCAAGGGTGCACAAAGCTCACCCTGACCCCGGAAACAGACGACTTGCACTAACTTAGCACTAACCAATGCTCAGAATCCCAAATGCCTTCTGTCTCGTGCAGAGCATCCCTCCCAGACACTGAACTCGGCTTTGACACCTCCTACTGTTTGGCTAGATGATCTCTCCAACTTCAAATTAACTCATGGTAATGTGGCTTGATCATGGCTTGATCTTGTTTTACATTTTCAGTCCTGGTGGATTTGACTCATGATTCATCAATGCTGACTTGTGTAACTCGTAGGGAATGAGGGTGGCTGGATCCAAAGGAATCTCGGGAGCTCATTCCCTTATTCCCTACGTTCGTCGCACCAGTCAGTCAACAGTCTACTTGACCAGCTCCACCCGCTACAAGGACCGGCTCTGGCGCTTTTACCAGCGGCTGCAGGCCGACGCGCTGCTGGTGCGAAGCTGTGGCGCGCTGCAGCAGCTCCTGGAGAGCAAACAGCAGACCGAACTCGTGGGAGATTTCAGCTGCTGGGACGGCGTCCGCCGACGGCGAACTCGTGGGAGCTGGCGTGAGCGAGGAAGATGGGTCAAGGAGGGCGACTGGGGGGCTTTCTTTGCGGATCTGTGAAGCTAATTGGTGTTGTTCACCATGGGGTTGACTCACATGAAAGTGGCTTGTGCCACGATGTTAAACAAAACATGAAACTGAATCATGAACTGATCGTGTGGGGCCACGACGCCCTGTGCCCCAAAACCGAATTGGACACTCGGACACTCCTGGAAATCTCTCTTTAACTTCCTCTTAACTCTTGACATCAGCATGTCTAGGTTTGCAAGGGCTTCCATGCTGACGTTGTAGACATCATTTTGTTGAACCCTCATTTTGTCAAGGAACACACTTCCATTGTCTGGAAAATTGCAGAATTTGGGGTATACGTCCACAGACCAATTGTTGATGGCCACACTTGAGGTTGGCTCCATCCAATTATGTAACACATCCTGTTGAAGCCCCCTAAAGCATTGCGACTTTCAAGAAGGTTTGGGGGAGGCCCCCATTTGGATCGTACATGTCCAACCAACATGTCCACAAAGGTACCCTCCCCATTGCTTTCGACGCAAGCAGCTTCAGTGCATGACAGGTGGCATGCGAGTCCCACTGAGGCCTGAATGCCGCCAATGCAGCTGGGTGTCTATCAATGTGGAGACGTCGGGGATAGATATTTTGCCTTTTGGTCCAACATCCAAGGTCAATACAGTGGTTTCAGAGTAGATGGCACAAACCCCAAGATGTCCTCTAGATGGGGGTCCATATAAACCACCTCTTGGGGTCTGTGCCATTGGTCCTCACAATCCACTATAGCTTTCTCCAAAGACTGGGACCACGTTGATCTGTCTGATTGGTATCCCGGATGTTGTTCTGTCATTCCTGGCTTCGGTGTGTAGGAGATTTGGGCTTCCAACCTTTTGCGCAGCTGAGACTGCGACATCACCCGCAGGGATGGTCCCAGTCCAAAGATGCACAACAAAGGCTTCAAAGGAGTGGTTAATGGACACCCCTTAACCTCTTTTTGGCTATCAATAGACACCCCGTAACCTTTGGGGGTCCTGGTAGATGGTTCGACTCTGAGACTCAGCTCTGCAACATGGGTAACGGACTGAGCTTTTCTCCAAGCGTGCTCGGTCAACTTCAGGAGTTCAAGCTGAAGTTGAAACCACGAATTCAATCGAACCTCCAAGACTAAGTCCAACAGATGCGGGCCCTAGGGAAATGATTTGGGTGGTCTTCCACGTCTCGAAATGATGGCGCATGCCCCGTCCCATGACCTCAAACATACTGTTGATTCTCTATGGTCAGTCTATGGTGGTGGACCACGTCGTCGGTTTCCTCCAGTCGACGTGGATTTCCTCGCTCGAACCAGCTGGATTTGGCGGAGTGGGGGATTGGTGAGAAATCCTACAGGCCCCTGACCCGAGCACACAGGGTCCGATCTGATCCGAAATCTGAAGAAAACCCAGGGCCGCGTCGAACGAATCCAGGATAGGCCAGGATTAGTTTCAAGCCTTCCTTCAGTTCCCTCACAAATCCCTGCTCCGGCGAAAGTTCATCAGGCGGTGACCTGTGCCTTTTTCCTGTCCAACGGCTTGACGCGTCTCACGACCAGCTACGATCTGAGTGCGCAGCAGATTTGTCAACTGGCGAAGCGTTTGGGGCCGGAGCGGGCGGCACGTCTGGAGGCCGGCGGGCGCCTCAAAAATGGTGGCCGGGCTGGAGAGTTGCGCCGGGAGGAGTTGGGTCAATCAATCGAGGAGTGGCAAGTTGGTTCTCATGTCGAGAAGTTGCTGTGAGAAATCTCAAGAACAACGTTGGAAACTCTATGATATGTCCATCACTTTTGGCCTCACCTCACCCTCCCAAAAATTGAACATTCTCATGGACATTGGATTTGACACCACAATGTCACCAGGTGGTGGCGCATCAGCACTTGCCGATCTTCCACACCGAGCACTGCGTTTTCTGCCGCTTCTTGAGCAATGGCAACGACTACCGTGACTGCGGCCACCCTTGTGAGCGGAATGATTTGCACTTGAGAGACTCCAATGGCAAGGACCACAAGGTGCGAAGGTTGACATCGGCAGGGTTCGAAAGGGCCCCATGGGCGCCGTCTGGGGCAGGAGAGAAGTGATTCGGCTAGGACCCTAGGAAAAGCCTTCAAGGCCCGTGAAACGCCGAGACGGCCGTGGCGCTGGGTCGTGCCTAAGAAAGATAATCCACGCAGTGCTATGCCAAAAAAATGCAAAAAGGGAGCAGGAGCAGGAGCACAGAATTCACACAGGTTGATGTGTCTACTGGTTCGAAAAGTTGTTGGACATGGTGAAACATGGTGAAACATACCTAAACTACAGGCAGCTGACAAAGTCGTGTCCCAAAGCATTCCTGAAATGACTGAGCAGAATTTCATGGCGAACTCTTATTTGCACAAGTCGTGCCTTTGCAGTATAGATGGATTAATTGAGATTTGAGACCCTGAAAGAGGGTCACATGCCCGATCAAAGCACATTCTTTGGGCTTTTGGATATGCATTGCAGAAAAAGGAATGCAACAGACCTGCCCAAACCACGCGATGTCAACCTGCAGCATGGTGAGCTCGCACTTCTTGTCACGCACCCCACCTCAGAGTCCTGAACACCCGGAGCACCCGGAGCCGATTCAGCCAGGTCCTGGCGGACATGGGCTGCCGGAACACCGTGTTCAATGCCAAGGCGCAATCTGCAGCCATGGACCTGGCAGCCTTCGCCAATGCACAGGCTGCAGGGAGGAGGATTCAGTGGCGGAGTCGGTCACAGTGGGAGACCATGTGTTAGATCTATAGGAGTCCGCCTTTGGGAGCATGTGTTTTTTCGCCCACCAAACTCCGTGCCCGAAGCTGCCAAACCATCGCGTCCAACCGCAGAAGGAGGTTGTGAACCCCATTTAAGGTGCCCTCACAGACCAGGTGGGCTTCCTCCGCCTGGAGCTCGTCGACGAGGGCCCTGAGCAGGTGCAACCGCTGGTGAAGCGCTACCAGGCGGCGGCCGCCGGGCGACTGAGCGCGGAGAAGCCGCTCGGTCGCAGGCTCAGTTAGCGGGCTGGTTGCGGACTTGGCCGTGGTATTTATTGGCAGTATAGAAGCCAATGGCAGGCACAAGAATTGAGAGCCATGAATGAACGCCTCTCCGAAGACTTGATCAGGTTGATTTTCTAGATCAGATAGGGAATATAGGCTATAGGCTATAGGGGACACCCACCCAAATTTGGACACACCAACCCATTCAGCGCCCAACCATGAAAATCATTGCATGGTTGTTCATGACTTGTGTGCGCAAGTCATTCCTTTTCTTGCGGAGCCAGACCTACCCAGGAGTGAATAGCCCTTTTTGGGGGGATTGGTTCCTCAATGTTTCTCAACTTGTTCAATGTTTAAATCTCTTTTCCAGAGATTTCCGGCATCAGGAGCCAGCTGAGGATTTGACAAATAATCCTGTTCCAGTTCTTTTCCACGATTGTTCCGGAACTCTCAGGTCCAGCAGGTGAGTTTGGGGCTTTGACGGAATGTCAAAGAATGTCAAAGGTCCGCTTGGAGAGTAAGTCCTATTATATATTTGAATCTTATATAGTTGTTATGGAAACTCTCACTGAAACTAAATCAGTGGGGTGGTTGAAGGGAACATCTCAAAAAAGCATGTTCACCCCGCTCAAGCTGTGGCTTTCCGATGTTCCCGAACGAAGCATCGAACGAAACCGAGATCCCCAACTGATACCCGTCCACCCATCCCAGTACGGGGTGAGTGGGACATGGAATTTGGACGAACATCCCAAGATGAACATCCAACAGCTTTGCTTTGTTTAGCTGTTGGCGCCAGAACCGCCAAAACACCACCCAGATGCCTTTGGGTTTGTCCGTTCTTACCTGTAACAGTCAGTAACCAAGCAAATCACGAGTTTTTTGAACAAGGCCTGATACTGAATGATCATCCACTTTCTCAGCCTGGGCGATAGGACTCTAGTTTTGGAAGCGCCTGCCAGAGGCGCCGCAATCGTCCACTTGTTTGGCGCGGCCGATCGACCCAAAACGCCTCCCACGGCCGAAAATTCGACTCGATGCGTCGCCCAGGCTTTGGCGCTTCGTGGCGTCCCTACCTGACTCCAACGGACGCCGCCAGGGCGTCGAGCGCGGCTCCCTGGACGATGGCGCCTGGCGCGACCGGGAGGCCAGCGAGATGAAGGCGACAGGGACCGAAAGGAGAAACCTCGGAATTTCACCCAGCTTCCAGGTCTCCAGCCGTACCTCCTCGGTATGACTGGACCCTCTAACCCACTCCAGCCTCACTCCAGTCCCAAACAGGCAAGGCTTTCCAGGTCTCCAACAGCATTGTATTGCTTTCCGAGAGGTCCTCGCTGCTTCTCAACATCTTCTTTGGCACCTCTTCCTCCAAAGAGCCAACCAATTGGAAGGATGGACCACTGGCCTTCTCCACCGCTTTGATGAGAGAGTAGTTTGTGATTCCAATATATTCCAACACTCAGTTTCTGATCTTGTTTTGGCTGGTGGAAAGTTACTGGGGTTTGTTTGATTTGGTTTGTGGTTGGCATCAACATGTTTACATGTTTACTACAAAACCTGCAATGGCACGCTTCAGATGCAGCCAACTTGGTGACTTGTTTCAGTGTGGGGGTGATGCTGTAGCCGGCCGTATCCTGCGCCGGGAGGACGTTCTTATCAGAGACGGGCCTTGACCAAGACAGAATGAACACATGCAATTCATCGTTATATCTTCGCATCAAGGGTTTTTGCACGTTGTTTGGGTTTGCGTTGATAATGGTACCGTGGGTGTCCGTGGGTTGCGCAAGGAACTACATGGAATTCTCCCCATCATCACATTTTTCTCCATACCAAGACATCATCTTGGCCATTTACAGCTCGGACAGGTGCCAGCAGCAACGAAATCATCCCGGCTCTGAGGAGGGCGGCCAGACCGAAACAAATACATCAAATACCAACACAAAACACAACTAACTTGTTGAATTATATCACAATTCAATGTATTATGGCGATTATTTTGCACTTGTTTTTTGCATTGAATATATATATTTATATATATATATTTATATGAATTTCATTTGTAAAAAAAAATTGTAAATAAGTTTAAAAAAAAAAAAAATTGTGCAATTGGGGAATTGAGGGGGCGATGGAGGGATGTTTTTAGCAGGTGATGATTTATCTGTTCTAAATGTAGCGTTTGCATGGTGAATAGTTATTTATTTATATTTGCCTAAATAGGAATCATTATTGAATATATAATCGAATTATATTATATTTGATGATGCAAGCTATATTATATATTTGTTTATTATATAAATCGATATTATTTAAAATATGATTTTTAATTTTGAAATATTATGAAATATTATTATGGATGAAATCGCTATATATTGGTTTCTTAGGTATAATTTATTATATAATTTTGCGAATAGTTTATTATTGATTAATTATTTGATATATTATTTTTATATTTTGGAATAATTATTAATTAATATATTTTTATTGAATAATGGAAATTATATTTATATTATATTTTTGAAATAATTATAAATTATATTTATTAATATATTATATTATTATTAATATATTTCGTTATATCGTTATTTTCGATATATTCAATTCGATGATTATAAATTATTTATATAAATATATATATATAATATATAGAAATATATAATAAATTTAAATTGATAATTGGAACGAAATAGGGAAATTATTTTGAATTTATTTATGAAAAAAAAAAAATAATTTATGAAAGGTAATTTGAATTATTTGATTTTTTTATTTTAATAAAATGGGTTATATAATTAGGAATTGGAATCTGTATTGAATTTAATTTTGCAAGGATTACGAAAGGCAGCTTTCGTAGAAGGCGTTAGCGGAGTTGTGTTTGGCGAACGAAATGAATAATTAGGGGATCTAGGGGGGTGGTACGCAACCGATATTTGTAAATTCGGTATATGTTGGGAGGAGGGTGCGTCGAGGGAAGGTTTTTTGAGGTTGTATTGGAGGTGCTTTATGAGGGGTGATGATGCAAGAAAGGTTTAGTGTTTCAAATTCTCTTTCCATCAACCGCTCGATAACCTCTACACACGCACAGCAATCCCCAACTTTGGAGCCTCATGCGCGCGATACCTGGGAACAGAATTGTAGCTACCGTGGATCCGTATGAATGCTATGTTGTTATACCTCTTATACACCTATACCAGTTGAAAGCACGAATGAGATTTTATAGTTGTAGTTTGTTGTGCATGTGGGATTCGAGAAAGATATACGTAAATTCTGGGGGTGATATTTTGATGCTTTTGGACCGGGTGGTAATGCATTCGCTAACTATATCCTTCAATAGAATTTCGAACAGCTTACATCCAGAAGATTCTGAAAATGGCTTGGCTCCCTATATGAACCCATAATGTGTATCCTTTGTTTTTGTTTCGCAGACCTTCATTTTTTAGGTGGCCTAAACAGAGTGCTTTAGGGTAGCAAACCCTGGTCTTAGGCCACCTTGATTTTAGCTTGAAAACCACAGCTTTGAAGCCTCATGCGCGCGATACCTGGGAACAGAATTGTAATTTTCCTGGGTCCGTATAAATGCTATGTTGCTATACCTCTTACACACCTATACAAGTTCAAAGCACGAATGACACTTCAAAGCTGTGGTTTGCTGTGCATGGGTAACTCGAGAAAGATATACGTAAACTCTGGGGGGTGATACTTTTGGAGCGGGTGGTGACGCACTCGCCGACTATACCCTTCAATAGGAATTCAAACAGTTCAAATCCAGAAGATTCTGAAAATGGCCTGGCTCCCTATATGAACCCTAGGAAAATTGGGAAGCGAAGAGGTGGAAACAGCTGGGAGGCCTTGAACTTTTAAATAAATAAAAGGCCTGTAAAGTTCACGCTGTGCACTTGTGTTTCGGCAGTTCGAATTGTTTTCGACCTTCACTTACCGTCGTTCCCTCTCAAGACTGGGAGGGCAGTTGCCTTGCAAAAGGCGCGGCCGCGGCGCTTCAGTGCGCCCTCTTGTTCTCGTGTTTGCGGACTTCGGGTGCCGCTGCTACCCTTTTTCGCATTGGTAGCGGAGCCTCCTCCGGGGGGCTCCGAGTCCTTTGCGCGAAGAAGAACGAGGTTCTACATAAGTCCTTTGTCACGAACCCTTGGCCGAGCTCTTTTGTTTCCTCGTTGAAGAGCCCTTTCGGTCTTGGCTACTTGTTTGAGAATGCCACCAACGACATCGGCTGCAGAAGGTTCCAAGGATGGTGACTACCTCAACCTGCGCGACTCCTTCGTTCCACTGTTCAGTGGACAACCCTAGGACTACAAAGAGTCCAGAAAGAGGCTGATGCTCTACCACCACAAGATGAAGATCAGCAAGCGTTCAGCCGAGTCCGTCCTGAACATCCTGGGAAGTTTTCAGGGTGTGACGTGGCGGTTGTTCGAGGACTTCTCAATTGAAGAGGCTGAGAAAGAGGATGGCTTCAGCAAGATCATCACCAAGCTCGACAAGAACTTCGAGTATGACGATCGTGTGCTCCTTCCGAATGACTTTGAGGAGTACTTCAACTTGTTGCAAAGGAAGCCACAGCAAAGCCTCCTGTCCTTCGTCACCGACCATGACACCGCCTATCGTCGTTTGACTGCCCACAATGTGACTCTTCCAGTCCAGGTTCAAGGATGGCATCTACTCCGACGTGCTGCTTTGTCAAAGGAGCAACGCCAAATGGTGACGCTGAAGGCTCCTACGTTGGAAAAGAATCCTGTCGTCGAAGCCCTGTACCTGCTGTTCGGTCAGGACTACAAAGCAGGCGGCTGGAATGCTGAACGTGATCGAAAGTTCAACCGCTGGAAGGGCCGCGGCTACGCCGCATTCGATGAAGAAGATGCCTACTGGTCCGAGCAACCCTGGACAGAAGACGCCTACTATGAGGCCGACGACTGGTATGATGACACTGCCCCTGACGATGAGGCTGACTTTGACTATGACGCCATCTACTACGGCGAAGAGGATGAACCTGGAGAACACCATGACCTGTCCGAAGATCCTCAAGAGTTGGCCGAAGAGTATGACCACGCCTATGCCACCTACTTGGATGCCCGGCAAAGATTCCAGCAGCTCAAGTTGGCTCGTGGCTACCTGCCGATCGTCGCCCTCACTGATGGCCAGAACGCTTCGCCCGCCTCTGGATCCTCTTCACCTTCGAAGGGCGCCGGCAAGAACAAAGGAAAGGGTAAGAGCAAAAGCAAAGGAAAAGGAAAGAATGTGGTGCGCTATCCACCCTCCTCAGGTGGAAAGGCTGATCCAAAAGGTCGCGCAAAGGCAACTACATGCCTTCGTTGTGGCCAACCAGGTCATTGGGCAGCGCAATGTCCACAAGGTTCGAAATCACCCTCATCGTCCAACAAGAGACCTGCACCCACTGAGGGTATGGCCTTGCAGAATGAGACCGCCTTGGTCCTGTTCCAGGATGAGATGGGCCCCGACCGACCGGATGCCACCATGCTTGACCCAGGTGCATCTGCCTTCCTGTGCGGATATGGTCCATTCGGCCGCTATTTGAGCCACTTGCACTCCATGAACTACCCCATCAACACCATCCGCTTTGCTCGATGTGACCGCCAGTTCCATTTTGGTGGCGATGCATCCTCACGAGCTTCATGGACAGTGGATCTCCCGGTGATGATCGATGGCCAGTTCGGCACGATCCAATGCTACCTGGTTCCTGGCAACACGCCAATGTTGATGGGCCGACCTGTGATTGAGGCTCTGCACATGGGCATCGACTTCAGCCAGAAGCGCATTCGCTTTGGGCAATCGCCTTGGACCTCAGTGCTTGTGGGCCGCCATGGCGAGTACTTGTTGAGCCTCACCACTGGCATGGAGGAAGTACCTGATCCCACGAAAACCCTATTCAGCCTTCGCATTGCTGAGGAAACACCTGGCAGCCATCTCCACTTCGAGGACTTTAACAAGCTCGAACATGTGTTTCAGGCTGAAGATGTGGCTCTAGCAGGTGGCGAATTGCAATCCACTCGCCTTCATCGACATGCCCTTCGAACCATGGAGACTCAGTTGGTCACTACCTCAAACTCCACCGAAGCCTATATCACTCAGGAGCTTCACAATCCTCCCGACCATCGACGAGTTCTCTGGGAAATCTACTGTGGCAAAGCTCGCACTGGCCACATCGCAGAGGAGCTTGGTATGAAGGTGGAAAGATTTTCTTTGGACAATGGCTGGGACTTCAACCTCATCAGCCATCAACAACAGCTACTCCAACGACTTGATGAAGAAGAACCTGATGAAGTGCTGGTGGCACCAGAATGCCGCCTGTGGTCAAGAATGCAAACCTTGGCTTGTCGCACCCCTGCACAGCAAGAAGCCTTGAAGGCTCGACGTGAGCACCACCATCGTCGCCATCTCTGCTTTGCCAAGCGCATCTACCTACGACAGGTGACCAATGCACGGCATGCCCACTTGGAGCAGCCCCGACATGCCTTGAGCTGGAACACGATGGCTCTCCGAGATCTTCCTGGTTACTATGCCGACTTCGACCAATGCCGCTATGGAGCAATGTGCATGGACACCGACGGCATCTGGCGACCTGTCCAAAAGAGCACTCGCCTGTTGACCACAAAGCAGGCTGTTTTAGAGGCCTTCCAGCTGAAGTGTGACCATGACCACTACCACTGCCCCTTGGAAGGTTCTGCTCCTGGCTATGGCCGCCGGACCACCTACTTGGAAGACTACCAACCTGGCTTTGCAGCGACACTGGCTGCTGCCTTGGCTCGTCCTGAGACCGCTCAACTGTGGGACACCGCCTATGTGGTCGATGAAATTGGCAAGAAAGAGACCGGACACCTCCTCAAGCTCAAGTCTGAACACCGACAAGATGCTCTTCGAACGGTGCAACGGCTACACCGAAACCTTGGCCATCCGGCACCTGATGCTCTGGCTGATCTGTTG